GATGTTATCTAATGGGTAATGAAATGTCTGCAAGAAAACAACCAAGCTTAGAGAACACTAAGTACCCCACAATATGATCAAGAATCTCCCATTTGAGCTCAACTTCTAGCGATTACATAAAAACATGCAGTTTCTTGGCAAGACTACGTAGCTGGTTAGACTTGGCCTTCTTCAAGATTGTTATTTCAACTTCCTTCCATTCCAACTGTTCAGCCCTGTGATTTCCTGCTGATTTTTCCTTCCAAGCCTGATCTTGCTTAGTTTCTAAGTTCAGATATGGTCATTCAGATGGTCCCACCTGCTGAGACACAGGAGGAACATTAAATGAACACTCTACTCGGCCTGGACTTTCAAGACCTTCCAAATAATAAAAAAGGGGCCCTGTATTCTACTGAGGACACATAGACAACCTCAGCAAAATGTAATAGAGGGGCATTCAAGATTAAGGCATACAGGGTGGATTTTCATCATACCATTGGAAAACTTAAAGAAAAACAGTGATTCCTTGTGTTTGTTAAATATATGCAAATGACTTGCAAAGCCAGGGTTTCCCCTTCTTGAGGCTAGGGTAAATTTCTTGGCTGAATACCAATTCTGTCCAGCAAAGCTTCAAATTACAGAGTTTGCCGAGGCAGCACACACTGTTGCAGTCGGCACAAACAAAACCAACACAGCCCCACAACTTCTGATACAGCTAGAGGCTTTAGAGCATTAAATATGGAAGGGTCCTCGGGGACCCAATTTGTGGAAATGTGCAAAGGACAAAAGAATAGAGGGAAAATAAGAATATTCCATGGGTTTCTCTCTGTTTGCAACTGAGTACGAAAGAAGCTTCTGCTCTTCAGCATGAGAAACCGGACTAGATCAGGGGTAGTCAACCTTGGCTCTTTTATGACTCGTGGACTTCAACTCCCAGAATTCCTGAGCCAATATAGCTCAGCATGGAGACCTCTCCCTGTCCCCTCAGCACAGCTGGCTCAGGAATTCTGGGAGTTGAAGTCCACGAGTCATAAAAGAGCCAAGGTTGACTACCCCTGGACTAGATGGAACCAGGTCCACCAACTTTCTATGGCCACCCCATGTCCGGCATGGGGAAAGTTTAATCTCTGCCATTTGCAGTTAAGCTGTGAAGGGAGGAAATTCTGCTTTTAAAACATACGGGAGTTTAAAGATTAAAGATTAAATATATTCTTAATTATGGTTAAAAAGAATAAGAAATTGAGGAAATAAATATATATATTAGCCTAGGAGGGATATATATATTATTTTTAGTAGTATGTTATTTCTTACGTTTTCTTTACTCTTGCTCTCCTTTCTTTTGCTCTTCATCGTTTTATCTATTTCTTAAGAAATGTAAAAGTGTGAGATGGTTTATACGGAAAAAATAAGAGTTAAATTTGTAAATGTAAATGTAATTAATCTTTGAGAAAATCTTCACCAGTAAGAATATCTAGAATTTGGTGGGAGAAATAAACTAAAATAAGGATTGTAAACAGGATCTATGATAAGGCAACCAGAATGACTGACTAGAAAAAGAAATATTATACTGATATGATTATTATTTTTAGGAATATTGGGGCAAAAATTATATGTTCAATTGTTATTTATCAAAATAATAAGAACTGTATTAATTCAATGTTTGCAAAAGAGGATATTTTTGGGGGAAAGAGGAAATCAGCTAAAATTATTATGTGGAATATGGATTATAGAAATTAATTGTTAACGATTGTTTTACAAATGTAACCCAGACAACACACTGTTCACCAATTATTAAGTGATTTATGTTTTTTTTAAAAAATTCAATAAAATATATTACAAAAAGAAAAAAAACCATACGGGTGTAGACAGTACTAAACTAGACAAAATAATGGAGAGATTTGGTATATGGCACCTCCTACGGGAATTGCAGCAGCTACAAGTTTCTTTTCGCCTTCTTGACAAGCAGCAAATGTCAAAAAATCCCCTGCTGGAGAATTTTTCAAGGAACCACATTCTCGTTTTTTCCTCTCCAGCTGGATCACGAGCTAGTTTGGCTGTAGCCTCAAGGGAACAAGGGCAGGGACAATCCTGCCAGTAATTTTGAATATTAACATTTTATCCTTCCGACAACTCTATACCCTTGGTTAGGCTGACGAACAGCTGCTAAGCTTTGCAAATGACTGAGAATCAGATTCACACCCCAGAACTGAACTAACAACGTCCACACTGAGGCCTTGACTTGTGGTTTGTATAGTTGGGGTTTCTTGAACGAATGAGAGGTAGACATCAACTTAACCACCTCAGCTGAGCCCAACATTTCTATGGTTGCTAAACAAGACAGTTGTTAATTCTTTGATACATATTTACAGAACCTCACACACCTTCTCTAATGTCTTCATTTGAAGAAAAAAAAATGATGGGCCAATTAATCTAAACACTCCTCTCTAACAACAGCAGAGATTAAAATCACAATTTATATACTTTGAGGGAAAACAAAGAGAAGAAAACGATGCCTGATTTTGCAAACCTTCTGTGTACAGAAGAAGCTAAGGATTCTCTAATAGGATAATTAATATCCTGTTAATGCCCTATTAATAATAGGATAGTTAATATCCTAATAATTTGTATCCTGGTGGAAATGTAAATATTTCCTGGTGGAAAAGGTGAACTTTTAATGAAAAGAAAGAGAAAATCTATCTATCTATCTATCTATCTATCTATCTATCTATCTATCTATCTATCTATCTATCTATCTATCTATCTATCTATCTATCTATCTATCTATCATCTATCTATCTATCTATCTATCTATCTATCTATCTATCTATCTATCTATCTATCTATCTATCTATCTA